TTAGTGGATGGATTCAGAGGATCGCTGATTTCATCTGAAAACCTTGTGCAAACTTTCTCCTCTCTCAGGTTTACTCTGACAGCACAGAGCCTCTTCCAGATCAAGCGGCAGTTGGACAAACTGGGGGAACTGGTTGTGAAAGTTACATACGAGAGTGACCCAATCCCACTACAAAAACCTCAGATGGAGGAACGAGTTAAATACCTTATCTACCATCTCATCAAGAGGTATAGCAATGGCTAATTGAAGCCTGCACTAACATGGGTTAGGTTTAGATAATGATATTAGTTACATCTTTTCTAACGAATGATTCACAGAAATGTTTTTTTCTTTCTAATTTGTATTTCTTTGCAGACAGAAAAGCAAAGATCCGTGGAGATTAAAATATAGTTGAGATGCAGGGAAACTGTTTTTAAACCATTTTAGAATTAAAAACACATCTTAGAATGAGAAATATTTAGTCTTCCTGCTTCCTGTTTTTAGCTCTTTTGTGGTGGAGAAGCAGCCCTGCATGCCCACCCATCCACAGAAACCTCTCATCATCAAGACCGGAGTGCAGTTCACCACTAAAGTCAGGTATCTGGACTCTTTCTCTTGCTTCACATTTTCTAACAGGCTCAATTATTTCTGCTATTTTTAATTTCTTTTCCTTGTGATTTCTTTCAGACTTTTGGTCAAACTCCCTGAAGTGGATTATCAACTAAAAGTTAAAACGACATTTGACAAGTAAATAAACACAGGCTGGTCTCTCAGTATTTTCTATGTGATTTAATCTGAGGACTAATTTGTATGTTCCTGTGTCTGTAGAGACCTCCCCCCTGGCAGAGTGTGAGTACAAACCTCTTAATCTTTAGTGTGTTGCTGCAGGAAGCATCCAAACACACCTGATATTGAAGGATCTCTGTGATTCCTGCTGCTGGTTATCAGACGTATGTTTGTGTGATAAACTAATTGTACACATCACAGAAATGTCAGAGCTAGATCATGTTCTATTTCCCTGAACCTGTTCATACAGCCAAGCTGTTTGTTTAAAAATCCATCATTACAGAAAGGCTGCACTGAGCATACAGGTGTTAGTTAGAACAACGCTGAGGTGGACAGACATCAGCCATGACCTCAGAGAGCCTAGCTAGCCTCTGTACTGATGATAGTCAGATATATGTGCCTGTTAAAAAGAAAATTCCTTCTGCCTCGCACCACTGCAGGCATGCCGTAAGGACATTAACGCCTAGTTGGCTCTGAACTTTTTATATCTTAACAAGGAAAAACTGAAGCGATGATGTTTGGTCCCAGTAAAATTTGCATTCCTAGATGTATAGAAGCTCTGTGGAGACACAGCTAATTCCCCTTACCTAAGTGGGGGAGAGGTACCCTAACACCCCCCCCCCCCATTAGACCTCTTCAGTGTCTCTTTTTAAAACTCATCTGAAAACCTATTTTCACACAGCATGACACTTTTTTTTGTTTTTTATTAAGAAATACATGAACAGTGGCCTAGTCAAAACTCAGACCTTGACCTGATAGAATTCTGTGATGGAACCAAGATCCAAAAGGACGGAAGAAGGGTTTGGCTGTTGTTGGTAGATCTTCAATCATCAGCTGCAACCTGGGGAGGAGATAATAATAATAATAAAAATGAACTTTATTGATCTCACATTGTAGAAATTTCCTCTCTGCATTTAACCCATCCTCTTGGGGAGCAGAGGGCTGCCATTGTGTGGTGCCCAGGGAGCAGTGTGGGGTTAAGGGTCTTGCTCAGGGACCCAGAGTGGCAGTCTGTGGGAGTGGGGCTGGAAGTCAGAACCTCAGCATTCAAAGCCCTGTGGCCTAACCACTAGGCTGCCCCGCCCCTTATTAATATACTCCCTTTATTAAGATACCTGCTAAGCAAAGTTTTGAAAACACATTGGGTGCATCTTTTTCTCTCCTCAGAAGTCGACAGTTTTTCATCCTCACAAACAACACTAAAGTGATGGACATTGAGGATTACTCAAACGGCTGCCTCTCTGTGGAGTTCAGACACTTGGTAGGAAAGTGTTCCACTGACTTCTGGACCAAATGTTCGCCCAGCTTCTGGAGGTTAACTGAGTTTGTGTTTTACAGCAGCTGAAAGAGAAGAAATACACCAATGGCACCAAAGGAAACGAGGTAATGGGAGGACTGTTTGATTATGTCCGTTAGAGGTGGATGATCTTCTTTGGGCTTCAGGTCTCAGGGGAACATCTGATCTATCTGTGGTCCCACATGAAGACCTCAGTGTGGTGCTCGTCTCCTGTTGCTGTGCATGAACACTTCTGGTGTTTCTGTATCCAGTTAGCTAAAGTCCTCTCATCATATACTTGAAAATGAGCGGCGTGTATCTGGGAGCTTCATCCATGCCATAGTGGAACAGCAGGAAGTTCTGTGCATGTACAGTTGGGCGTCTCTTTCCTTCATTTCCAGAAGAATGGTCCACTGCACCTTTGAGACTGAGTCCCGTTGGATCAGGCAAACTCAGGCACTGATGCATTCTGCATTTCTCTTTGCAGGGTCTGCTGTCTGTGACAGAAGAACTTCACTCGTTGAGTTTCGAGGCCTGCTTCACGGTGCAGGGCCTCACCATCGACCTGGAGGTCAGCAGAGGGGCAGGCTGTCTTTGTCCTGTTGGGCTCTTCTTGTTTTTGTTCACCAATGCTTCATAATGTCTTTCTCCAGACGTGCTCCCTGCCTTTAGTGGTGATTTCCAATGTGAGCCAGCTGCCAGGCGGCTGGGCCTCCGTCATGTGGTACAACCTCCTGACCGACGAGCCCAGGGTGACTTTTAACACTTTATTTCAACGTTTAGAATCAGTCGCTCTAATTCATAAATTTAGGTTATTGAATAAAATAATATTATCAGGACTAATTTGTAGAAATTGAATTTGATTTATATTATTTTAGAAATAACTTGAAAATGATGTTTTTTACTCTTTATTACTCGTTTCAAACACTTTAAAACTTATCCTGCTCACTTTCAGGCTTGTCCTGGTTGGATATGATGTTTGTTTCCAATAGGCTGTCCCTCATTGTAACATCTAGGATTCATAGTCACCTTCATCATGTTTATCTTCTAATTCCCCACAGAACCTGGGCTTCTTCGGGAACCCGACACGGGCCAGCTGGAGCCAGCTCTCTGAGATGCTCAGCTGGCAGTTTTCCACCTTCGCTGGTCGAGGCCTCAACAAAGAGCAGCTGGATATGCTGGGAGAAAAACTGCTGGGTGAGAATCTTAGTGGATGAAACAGGTTATGTGGACAGTTTGAAGCTAAGTATGTTTTACATTGTTTTGCCCTTGACCAAAATCTGATAAAAATAAAATTAACTCTAATTAGGGAAAAAGTTAAATTGATTAAATGTGGTCTGTTTAACATAAGATCTCTTTCCTCTAAAAGTCTGCTAGTTAATGATTTGATTTGTGATAATCACATTGAC